TAGATAGTTTGCACTGGCGGATCCAAAAAGGGGGAGGGGGAGTTCAGGAGGGGGATGGAAAACGCCCTTTTTGTGATGATCAATGCTTTTGAATGAGGACATACAGTTGGACCCTCCTTTTATCTTAGGTTGGAACCCTTTTAAAAATGACTGGATCTGCCCTGGTATGTACTCATAGGTAGTCTAGTGGATAGTTTACATGCATGAAATATTTGTCACTGGACATTAAGCAACCAATAATCAATCAATTCATGACGAAATATATCAAATTGCTGTAATTTTCCTTCACAAGGTTTCATGGTTCACTCTTTTTTGTGTACAAAGTAATTGCATGGAAGATAAATGATTACAATTTTCAGATGGCGTTGTACTCTAATCAAGGTATAAAAAAAAACATATGTGTTACTCTTTATTTAAATGAAAGAAACTTTTAATCGTCAAAAACATTTTAAGATCCGAAGATTAAATAGTAGGATGTTTAAAAATCAATTTGAAAACTAATTACAAACTATTTAGTTTAATTTGGAACACAGCATTTATTTCAAAATAGCCAGTAGCAATTTTTGTTTTAATATCTTGATTACGATACAATGAAATCTTACCCTTGTGGTCATTCATGCGTAGTTACTTAGTACATGGAAAAAGTATGTACTATGAAAATTAGAAGGCAAATATAAGCAATTTGATTGGACGAGAAGTTGTAAGTATGTGCTAATTGTTTTATGGTTTAGAGTAGATCGTACATTATTAAGAACAGAAGATGATATAATAATGGGTATAGTGTATATCCCGCCTGAAAATACTCGTTATACGTCTGAAAATGCGATGTCAGAAATTGAAATAGAATTTCTTGAATTACAAAAGAATAGTAACTGTATTTTTCTTCTTGGTGATTTCAATAGTCGTACTGCAAATGAACAAGATTTTTTCGATATATCTGATTTCGAAGAACATTTAACTGATTTTATAGATGTAAATGAGTTTAATGACATTCATGTCTTAGACGATCTTAATTTACCAAGAATACGTAATAGTTCTGATACTGTTATTAATACATATGGAAGAAAATTAATTCAATTTTGTAAAAATAATCTCATGTATATTTTAAATGGAAGAGTCGGTAAAGACCGAGTACTTGGTAAACCTACAAGCCAAAGTATTAGTGTAGTAGATTATATATTATGTACTGCTAATATTTTATGCAAAATAGATAATTTTGAAGTTTCTGATTTTTGTAATTTATTCTCAGATATACACTCTCCTTTGTGTTTGTCTTTAACTGTAAATGGTTTTAATAATACACAAGGTGAAAGTAAAGTAATTAATGACAGTAATGTACACATTGGTAAATGGAAACATGAAAAGACAATTGAATACAAAAACAACATTGATGTTGATAAAATAAACGAATTATTGTTAAATGTAATGTCTAAATATGATGATATAAGTTCAGTTGATCAAGGTACTGTAGATGGTATTGTAAGTGATATTACGACTGTACTATTGAGTGCTGCAAAAGACACATTTGGGGTATTTACTAAAAATTTTAAAAACACTGGCGGGAAAGGGAACTTTTCAAACAAAGATTGGTTTAATAAAGACTGTAAAAAAGCTAGACAAGAATTTCGAAAAACCAGAAGACTTTATAAACACTATGGATCTAATTTATTTAAAGAAAGACTTCGACAATCAGAAAAACAGTACAAAAAAGTCATGGACGAGAATATCAAATTATATAACGAAAACTTGCGCACTAAGATGAGAAATATGCGATTCAAAAACCCAAGAGAATTTTGGAAAATTTGGAACAAAGTAAAGCATAAAAACAATTGTAATATCACCACTGAGTCATTGTTTAACTTTTTTAAAGATATAAACAAAAATAATTATAAAGGAGATACTTATGATATTAATAATGATGTTAGCCAAGAATCTTCAAATTCTATGTTAAATGAAAGTATAACAGCTGAAGAAATATTGAAAGCTATAAAACATATTAAAAATAACAAATCGTCGGGTGACGATATGATTGTAAATGAATACATTTCTTCGTCTATTGATTGTATGATTGATATTTATGTGTATATATTTAATATTATTTTTGATTCGGGTATTTTACCCGAGGCATGGATTATAGGTAACGTCATACCAATCTTTAAGAACAAAGGTAGTACTACCGAACCACAAAATTACCGTCCTATTACTCTTTTGTCATGTCTTGGTAAGATTTTTACTTCTATTTTGAACACTAGATTATGTGATTATCTTGATGAATATTCTATTTTACTAGAAAATCAAGCCGGTTTCAGACATGGATATTCAACTACTGATCATTTATTTTCATTATATGCACTATTTGAGTTACTTAGGTTAAGGAAGAAAAAACTTTACTGTGCCTTTGTCGACTTTGAAAAGGCCTTTGATTTTATACAAAGAAATTTTTTATTATTTAAACTTTTAGAGAATAATATAAATGGCAAATTTTTCCGTATTATACAAAATATGTACGAAAATGTAAAATCACGCATTATATTTAACGGTGAAAAATCAGAGTTATTTGCTTGTGAAATGGGTGTAAGACAGGGAAAAAATCTTTCTCCTGCTCTTTTTGCAATATTTTTAAATGATTTACAGCATTTTTTTGAAGGCAAAGATGTACTTGGTGTTAACTCTATTAGTAATGACCTTGAACACGAGTTGACAGTATTTTTAAAAATATTTATGTTATTATATGCGGATGACACTGTAATGTTTTCCGAGAGTAGTGAAGATCTACAAAACATGTTAAATGAATTCTGTGATTATTGTGAAAAATGGCAACTCAAAATAAATATTAATAAGACAAAAGTTCTTATATTCTCCAGAGGGAGACAACCCAAAAATATTAGTTTTTTATACAGAATAGAGAATTAGAAATTGTAACTGATTATAAATACCTTGGTATATTTTTTGCTAGAAGTGGTTCATTTTTAAAGACCCGAAAATATATTTGTGAACAAGCTACTAAAGCAATGTATGGTATATTAAAAAAATGTAGACAAAACAGTTTAACTATAGAATGTCAGTTAGACATGTTTGATAAGATAGTTTTACCTATCCTTCTTTATGGTTCGGAAATTTGGGGATTTGAAAATTTTGATTTGATAGAACGTGTACATTTAAAATTTTGTAAGCTTGTTCTACATTTAAAACAGAGTACACCTAGCTGTATTGTTTATGCAGAATTGGGTAGATATCCTGTTATTCTTAATGCCAAAGTGCGTATGGTTAGTTTCTTATGTAGATTACTGTGTGGTAAAGAAAGTAAAATTTCATGTCTTTTATATAAACTATTGTATATTAATTTTCACAACTATGGTCTTAATTGTAAATGGATATCATTTGTAAAAAATGTTTTTGATACCTGTGGAATGTCAAATATCTGGTTTAACCAACTGTTAGATAAATGGGTAATTAAAAGTATTGAGTTGAAACTTGAAGACCAGTTTTTACAGAATTGCCTAAGCGAAATTAACACTACTCCTAAATGCTTATGTTATAGAATTTTTAAAACTGATATTAAATTAGAAAGTTATTTTTCCAAATTGTCAATATATAATCAATTTTTATTGTGTAAATTTATATTTAGATGTGGAAGTCACCGATTACCTATCGAGACGGGAAGGTGGAATAACATATCAAGAAATGATAGGTTGTGTCATCTTTGCGAATCAAGAGACATAGGTGATGAATATCATTATGTTATGACATGTAATGCTCTAACTCAAGAAAGAAAGAGGTTGTTACCACACTATTGCACTTTTTGTCCAAATATATATAAATATCAACAATTAATGAGCTCTAGTAACTATATTGTTCTTGAAAAACTATGTAGATTTATAAAAATTATAAATGTGAGGGTCACTCCTCCTGGTTAGTTTGTAATTTAAAGTTTATGTCTGTATTGTTCACATGTGCTTTAATATTTAATGTAATTGTTTATACATATATATTCTCTGTAACTATGTAATTTGTAGTTAATGAGAAATAAAATTCAAAATTCATTCATTTTGAGCGATAAAACGGTTACAGATGTAATTGCAGACACTGTTTCATGATGATTAAAAAGTAAGTAGTTGCCATGTGGCCAGCCAAAAACCATAAGCCAAATTAAGACGTGACCAAAAGAAAAAAATGCGCGAGTCTTTCAAGGAAAACGTGTGTTGTCTGCCGTTTCCAAATATATATAAAACATATATGTATAAGCATGTTTTGGTATGGGAAACCCCATAACCACTAAGAGAAAAAATGAAAATAGCAAGCGCGCAACTTCATATCATGAAGAAGAATCTGTGCAGATATGGTGGAATTCTGTAAATCTATTTTCAAGGAATAGTTGTTGAGGATTATTAAATTAATATAACTAGAAATGGAGGTACGGAAAACTATGAAACCAATATAAAAAAAATTAAATAGCAGTGATCATTTTCACAAAAAGTCTTACGACTAAAGTTGATCGTAAATATACTGAATTGTTCATGACTTACGATCAACTTTCGTCGTAAGATCTTTTGTGAAACTGATCACAGATGCACAATGTTCATGTCCTGTAGTAGTATTTGTGAAGTTTGGAGGAATTCTGTCAAGCCATTTTCAAAATGTCGCTATTTAGCAAAGTATAAAACGTAAGGCACAAAAGATGACACAAGACAACAGAAAACTAAAGAGCTTGCAACACGAACCCAATCAAAACACTTGGGTGAACTCATGTGCTCCGGAAGGGTTAGTTGTTCCTGTTCCATTAGTGACCTCGCCATATTACTTTTGTTAAAAACCGCTGAAACGTAGCCGGAAATTCTAATTGATCAGGTGCCGATCCAGGATTTTGAAAAAAGGGGGCTGGCAAGCCAACGTTTGGAGTGTGATCATTGTAAAAAAATCTATGCATTTATCATATATAAAGGTCCATAAGCCCCTCCCCTTAAATCCGCCTCTGTTGTTGATGTCAAATAAACTCAGAATTGTTTTTCAGTTATTTATTACAATCTAACAAACTGATCATATTTTATTAGCTACATTTGTGTATATAACATCCTGCTCAGTTCTCTTCACAAAAAAAAACATGTTCAACCTTGAAAAAGTTTTTGTCATTATGGTATTTTAATATTATTGTGTAAAAAAACAAAATAACTGTGGAAAGGTCTAACATTTTTTTCGATTAACATTAGAATAAAAAGCTGTTACAAATTTCTTTTTCCAAATATGGAACTTCAATAATTTTGAAAACTTTGACATTCTGTCTATTTACGTCAACAGTAAATGGTCTTTTTGTATTTTGAATCTAGCTTTGTCAATGTAGTAAATATTTAGCTAATATAATTATGATTCTAATGTACGTACGTGAAAATAGATTTGTTAAAATAATGTATAATAATGTATTATAATGCTCTAAATCTTTAAATAATAATAAAAAACACGTCTGTTTATTTCAATGGTATAAATATATTATGCAATAGATACATACAAAGGATTAAAATATAAAGTAGGTTTTTTTTAAGTATATACTTTAACATGTAGAGCACACACTTAATGTACACATATGCACATGTGCACCAATAAGACAATCTTCACCAAAGGAAAAACAAAGAATAACTAAAAGCGGTATTCAACAATTTATTATAATTTTCTGGTTGATTTTTTTCTACTTTTTATTTAATTTAGGGGAAATTTTATTTCAACAGCGAATGTTCATGAAATCTATTAACTAAATTCAAAAGTGAAATGTAGCAGATATTATCCGTTTCAAATTTCATCATATTGATAAGATGCTTTAATTTCAACATCCTGTTAAAATATATCAGACTTGAGTGATATTCAATCCCCTTAACGGATACAGAAATGATCAATACAGAATTATGAGATAAAAAGCACAAGATTCATTTGAATATAGTTAAAATTTCGTTGAAGATTGACTAGAGTTATTTATGACTTATTATATAATTATGCAAATGTGTTTCCCATAAAATTATCATCCATGACTGTTTTACACGTATACTTAACTTTGTTTACCTTTCACTTTTTTAATTCAACTTCAAAAAAACATTCTTACAATGTAGATCTATCTTGTGAGAAAAAAACTTATTTCACAGACAAAACAAACAATCATTATTTGATGATGTCGCTATAATATAGTACGGAGTTCTGTCCTCGCATTATATTTTTCTAATTAGAGTTATCTCTCCTACATTTGTTATCGCATTTAATTAGCCACTCCACGTCCAATACGGCGCACCTGGTTCGCCGTAACCAACGGCTGGTAGAGGTCGACGGGTGTCCATGTCATATACATAAGGGCCGGGATAATAAGGAGGTCCGGGATATGGACCACCACGATGAGGTGGAGGATATGCATAGGGGTCCGGATATGCCAGTTCCATAGGAAAAGCCCTATTGTCATATGCTTGGTATCCGTATTCTCGACCACGTCTCTTTTCTAAATAGTCTTTGTCCTCATAACGCTCTGATCCTATGTAACATCCAGCTACTGCATAAAGCGTTGCTGTGAGTGCTGCGACTCCCATTCCAACCCAACCTAGTATGTAGGACCATCGGTAGTCACGAACCGTTGCTGTCTTTATCGACTAAAAGTAAACACATTATTAAATTAACATCTGAAAAGGAAAAGTATATAATTTTCTTTTCAATGCCATTAAAGTATAGCTTTTTGCTTTATATGCATGCACAATGAAATGTCATGTTATTGTTAGAATAATTGAAAAAATTAACAACGCATATATGTCAAGAGTGCTACTTGGTTACATACTTCGACCATGTGATCTAGATAGATAAAACACCTGCTTTGTTTCGGAGCACAACTACTAAGGGGTTTTAATTTAGTGTATCCTTCTAGTTTCTTGCTTCTCCGGCAATATCTTATTTTTTTTTACCCTATTAACCGATTTTAAATTACTTTATAAATAAGGAAATGTGGTATGATTGCCAATGAAACAACTATCCAACTAGGTTCAAATGAAGTGGATGTAAGCAATTATAGGTAACAGTACGGCCTTCAACAATGAGAAAACCCCATACAGTATAGTCGGCTATTAAAGGCCCCGACATAAAAAATATGTTACATTTGTGTTACATTTTGTCATAGAGATTATCATATGTCCATCCCTCATATAAGCAGGTTGGGTCAATCAGTTTTGGCTGCAAGTTTTGTGGTCAATGATACTGATCGTCCATCGGGGTCATTATAAATAGGATATTAATTTGCAAGCAAAAGAGCTTTTTATGAAGGAGTAGCTCATAGAAACATTATTTTGTAATTTATTAATGACTAACCAGAACATGTAACTTGCATTGCAAGGCTTTTTGCAGATGACCGCTTATTGTATATAAATGTAAATAATAATTCTGATGCAAAATTACTTCAGAAAGATTTAACTAGTTTAGTGCAATGGGAACAGGATTGGCAAATGAATTTTAATCCTGAAAAATGTTATATAATACATAGTTCTAAAAAAATTAACCCTTCTGCTTTTGATTATACATTGCATAATCATGTTTTACAATCAGTAAAAGACAGTCAATATTTAGGTGTAACAGTGAGCCATGATCTTGACAAGGGAACACATATAAATAATATTACCTGCAAGGCAAATAAAACCTTAGGTTTTTTTCATAGAAATTTAAAATAAACTTATCACAGAGATAAATCTCGCCTTATTGTAATTTTGATAATGCAAATGTTGAAATTAAAATAGCAATACTTTAACATGTAAGTTATGCAAATATTCAAAGTCGATGAACCATGACTGAAGGTACATGGCTAAACAATCTCCATGAAATGAGATGTGCCAGTGCTAGTACAACTGCATACCAAATACCATTGACTTATTATAAGTCGTTCCCTTTAAACAAACCTAAACACAAACATTAACTTGTAAACTATGTAAAAGTTTCAAAGTCAATGAACCATGATCAGGGGTGGGCTATATAATCTCCATGGAAACGATACTTGCAAATGCCAATAAATTTGCATACCAAATATCATTGACTTAACATTAGCAGTAATCTTTAACTGATCTAATCACAAACTAATACATCATCACGGTAAACTAAGCAAAATTTTCAAAGTAAATAGACCATGACTGAGGGGGCGGGGCCAAATGTTCTCAATGGAAATGAGATGTGCTAATGCTTATACAACTGAACACCAATTAACATTGGCCTACCACTAATGGTTCCCCTTGAACTGACCTAATCATAAACTAATACATGTTAACTTAGCAAAATTTTCAAAGTCTATAGACCATGACTAAGGGGGCGGAGCCAAATAATCTCCATGGAAATGAGATATGCCAATGCTTATACATCTGCATACCAAATATCATTGACCTACCACTAGTGGTTCCCCATAAATTGACCTAATTACAAACTAATACATGTAAACTATGAAAAGTTTCAAAGTCAATAGACCTTGATTGAAGGGGCGGGGCCAAATTATCTCCATGGTAATGAGATGTGCCAATGCTAATACAACTGCATACCAAATATCATTGACCTACCACTAGTGGTTCACCATGAACTAGACCTAATCACAAACTAATACATTGTCGACGCCGCCGTCGCCGCCGATGCCGGAAACAGCATACCTATGTCTCGCTTTTTGACTCCGTCAAGGCGAGACAAAAACTGCACACGTAAGGTTATAAACCTTACGTACACATCACTTGTCCGTCCAGTCGTCGAATACTCTTCCCCTGTCTGGGATCCGTATAAAAAGCACCACATCACTCAGGTTGAGCAGATTCAGCGTAAAGCAGCCAGATTTGTCTATAACGATTATAAAGACAGAAGACCTGGAGCAGTTTCCAACATGATGAATTCTTTGCAATGGGAAAGTTTACGGAACAGTCGGGAAAAGCTAGATTAACAATGCTATATATAATTAACTGGGGGTTAGTAGAAGTTCCAAAGGACAATTTAACAAAATCTGATAGACGTACTAGGGGCAACATAAATTTCGGCAAATAGCAACTAATAAAGACTTGTATGTTTTTTTAATTTTAGTTCATTTATATGTTTTGGAGTTTAGTATGACGTCGATTTTCACTGAACTAGTACACATTTTTATTTAGGGGCCAGCTGAGGACCACCTCCGGGTGCGGGATTTTCTCGCTGCGTTGGAGACCCATTGGTGGCCTTCGGCTGTTATCTGCTAGTTTGCTCGGGTTGTTGTCTCTTTGACATATTCCCCATTTCCATTCTCAATTTTATTCTATAAATATTCTTTTTATCCGAAAACCATCTCTGACTGGAATTCACTACCTGAAGCTATAGGTATGTCTGACACCCTGGAATCCTTCAATAGTAGCATATCCACTCTAACATTTGAAGGACCCACACCAACTTATTAAATCACCAAAGCCACTATACATAATGTATATATGTTATTATATAGACTATAATTTTACTTTATTGTTTATAGTAATTTAAATAAAGTCCATATGTACATAGCACATAAGTTCCGGGAAGTTTTACACTCCTACCTAGGAGTCTACTCCCGTATTCGGAAGAAGAAGTAACATCCGGGAGTTGAGACACCAAATTTAAATTTTCAGAACAGATTAATCAATCTTTTATTTTAATGCTAAAAAGGATGATTGCATGTTTATTTAAATATAATTCTATATACTTAAATAAGGAGATGTTGAATGAATGTTAATGAGACAACTATCCACCACAGTTCAAATGACGTGGTTCATGGTAAGCAAATATAGGTCACCCTACAAACTTCAACAATGAGGAAAACCCATACCGTATAGCCAGCTATAAAAGTCGCCGTCATGACAAAATGTGACACAATTCAAACGAGATAATCGAAAGACCGATTTATGACAAAACATCAAGTGAAAAACAAGTATGCCAGACAGCGACCAATGATGACCACTGAATTACATGCTCCTAACTTGGTACAAGCATTAACTTCATATAAATTTTACATATTCGACTCAGTCCATGAGGGAATATAAAACAAATTATACATACTGGGTCCCAGGCCTGATAAAACTGAGGTTCATCTCTTATTTTATTTCTTTCTAGATATTCAGCACCATGGAAAAAGGCTATAGCTGCTGCAGTACAAAATGCTGAAAATAAATGATTGTTCGTGAAGCATCTGTTTTTCATTATTTACGTTTACCATCTATATAATTTTCATTTTTTTTTGTACAACTTCTATGTTTTTATACTTTTATTCAGCTTTTGCATTTCATTCAATTTGCCATGCTTTGTTACGGTGTTATTAGAATACATGCACAGTACCACCATCTTCAAAGGAGGAGGTATTTTGCTATACCTCAGTTTTTTTATGCATGTACAATCATTAATTTCGAGATGGAGCTATAGGGCTGACAAACATGGAACATGCAATCGATTTTTCATTTTCATGATTTCTTAAATGTCTGTCAGGAATAGAGTAGTTAAATCCGATGCCCAACGTAGAGTGAGTGCTAACTTCTCTGCACGTTAAGATAGCATTGAAAACAACTCTCTGAGGGGTCCTTAGATTGCCAGTTGCAGACAAAATTTCAAGCCCTATCAAATAAGTATTGCTCGTTGGTGTAATCATGTTTGTATGTATGTTGCTTGTAGTGTTCTGGTGTTTCTGTTGATGTGGTCTAATGTACTGTCCAGTATTTTCGGTGAATCCTTTTATCCTTTTTATGTATTATTTTATTTTACGTTATTGATCGATCGAAGTATAATTTTATAACAATTGGCTAATAATACATATCATTTATTAGATAGAAATTATCAACAATATCTTTAAACGAAGAGTATGCGGTGTGTAGTCACTCATTTTCTCAGGTATCCCCTGGTTATTATAATTATGCTATACAAGTGCTTGATTCTCGGATCAAATCCCAAATATAGTTTTTTTTTGCTGATGTTAAATTCTCTATGTTTTGCACATTATTCTCTAAACACCACCAAGTCCCTCTTCTCTGGGTCAATTGGAAGTAGCAATACATGTATGTTCATTCGCATTACAGGATCGCTGTTGCATATTATACATTAGACCATCGTCAAATGTATGCGCACTCATATGTATGTGTGGTTTATATCATCATGGAAGAAATTTACCTTTTTTTACAAATAATACATAATGTATGTATATTACAATGTGAAAGACCAAAACAATACCTGAAAAATATGCACAGAAACCCGCACAGTACGCCCATTTTGACCTTCGCCAACAGCAAACAACAGCACCAAACACGTATGAGATTAAAAAGAACACTAAGGCCATAATAAAGAAGGCCATATGACATCTCATTAAATCTGAAAAGACAAAACAATAGCATTAAATCAAATATGTTTAGTGCTATGGATGTTTTAATTGGTGCATCAACATTAAATTCATGGGTACTAGGAATAAAATTCGACTCAGCGTGTCGTTCTAGTACAATCAATGTGGATTCGTCTACTCGTTTATATGTTCTCACCTTGAATATACCTGCATTATTTGCCCCTGGATGTTTAATAGCAATCAATCAAGCAATTAACATATGCATATGCAATAGAAATTGATATTAAGTACAATCCGCTTGGCTGATACATGTATGTTGGCTTGTAATCTTTTAAATTATTCACTGCGCTAGCGAACTGAAGTTATCATCCAGAAACCGTTTTACAGCTTTAAGATACTAGTAGTTCATAAAATAAAATTACCACATCAAATCATAAAAATATGTTTATTCGCATACATTGTATAATGTTCGGACAATGCACGTGTGTGCGTTAGCTTAATTGTGATACTACAAAGCAGAACATTTGTTTATATCTCTTAAAACTTCATAAACTTACCCATTCCATCAATAGAAATACAATCAGTATACGTTTTTATCAAAGTTTTGAGGTTTTGTCCTAGACGTAACCTACAGAGACGGGCTTGCAAACGAACTGTTTCTTAAAAAAACATTCAAGCTTAAGTTGTCATCTTGAACCGATTACTTGTGCCAGTTATTGTTTTTATGAGATTTATAAATGGTGTGATTATAACAGGTAAGACTGAATCTCCTCAGCACTGTCCTGAAATTAGATATTAAACGTATTAAACTTACGTATACGTGTGGAAAAATCCGCTGAATAATCAACATTTGTGGTTTCTGGGAATTTGTATGAAATATGGAAGCAATTGCTATCAACAATACCGTCTGCATTTCTGAAAACCACTGAAAAGAAAGTCATATATGGAGTAAATTTTGAACTAATGCTTTATAAAAAGTTGTAAAACACAAAAAGCAGTGGCTCCAACTATAAAAGCTCAACAAAAAAGGGCCGTTTTTTAGAACAAAAGCATATATATTTGTTTGTTTCATGAGCGGTGGTGGGTGGAGGCAAAAGAAATACTATCCTGAATTAAACTTCTTAAAGTTGTCCAAAAAGTTTACTCTAGTACATGTAACTACGGGTGTGTTTCACGACCTTGACTACCCATGAGGGTCTCGCACGGCCTATTTTTTTCCCACCTGTACATTATACTACTAGCATGTAGAATTCACGTATGATAAACGTATCATTGGTTGTTAGTTTGCAGTTTCCTGACTGCATACCAGAGGCGGATGTAAGGAACAAGGTACCCGGGTCCCCCTTATGAAGCTACTTATATGGTTAATGCATAGACTTTTTACATGTCCTACTACAAACGTTGCCTTGTTTTGGGGCACCGCTCCTTTCCCTTTTCAAAATCCTGGATCCGCATCTGCATACATTTTATTTTAACACCGATTTGTACCGTCTTTGATTTATTTACCGTTTGATGCACATATATAAATAAAAAAGATATGTTTCTTATTTCTCTGCCATTATAAAAAGAGCGAGATGAGGTATGATTGCCAATGAGACAACTATCCACCAAAGTTCAAATAAAGTGGATGTAAGCAATTATAGGCAACCGTACGGTCTTCAACAATGAGAAAAACCCATACCGTATAGTCGGCTATAAAAGGCCACGACATGAAAAATATGAAACAATTCAATTGAGAAAACTAACGGCCTAATTTATAACAAAACAAATTAACGAAAAAAAACAACATAACAGACATGAACCAACGACAACCACTGAACTACAGGCTCCTGACTTGGGACAGGCACATAAAGAATGTGGCGGTCTCAACATGTTTGTGAGCGCTCAACCCCCCTCCCCTAACCTGGGACAGTGGTGTAATAGCACAATATAAGAACAAACTATTGTACATATAATTTTATCATTTTTATAAGAGCAGGTCATTAAAACTTATGTTTCAAAAAAGTCCTTGTCTTTATAATTAAAATGTAATTATAATTAACATATTTAATTTATCCTGCCCGATATGCAAATATTTTGCAATAAAAAAAAACACAAATGTGACAGTTAATGATAAGGATTGTCATATTATGACGCCTTTATGTTGTTGTTTGTTAAGTGTATAATCGTTTTACTTTCTCGGATTATAACATACATATATTTTTGCTTGAGGTTAGCAACTAGTTTGTAAAAAATGCACTTGTTAGACTTTTTATGATAGTAAATTACATACAATTGTGCTGTAGGGTGATGTATCAGTGCAAATTTTAGATTTATTTCACTTAAAAATGACGAATAAGTCGACACACTTGATTAAGACCTATGAGTATTTTCAGTACACAACAAACATATTACGATACAATTAAATTGATTGATAAAGTGTTTATTGCTTCACAACTAATGGCATTTATTTATGCCGGAGAGAACAAATTTGACAAATTAAACACAGATAAGTTGGGTCTGCTAAGTGGATCGACCGAAATAGCGTAAGGAAAAATGGACCTGGCACTGAATATGAGAGTATATGTTAGATATGCACAAACATTGCCTTGCAACAAGTCAATTATGCAACTAGGAACCCCGTAAAAAATGTGCAAGTTTTTTTTTGATATGAAGAAAGGGTGGCGTTGTCTCGACCCGGGATACCAGATACCAGAGTTGATGTCCGTATTCCGACCGCCCGTGGGTGTAGCTGCGAACTCATACATCCTGTATGACCAAACCGACCGTGGCCCCTCAGCACGGATGGGACAAGTCTACACCACAGCCCCACTGTATAATTAGGTTCCATGTTTATTGGAAAAGAGGTGTTATACATATAGTTCTTATAAAGTAAGATTTCATTGGTAAGATTGAGAACACGTTACAAGAAGAAAGATAAGATGAAATAGTTAAGATCTGAAGATTTATGAAAAACAACATATCTCTAAACTATAAAATAACAGAAAATAACAGAAAAAAAACTGGGTCTAAATGATCTAAGAGCCTGAGGATGTATTTACACGAGTTTGAATCATTTACTCTTTGGAGTCTGAGGTCAATCGTTGAGTTTTTAATGCATTACTTTATCATTACTAGTATTAATTTCATGTTTGAAGTTATTTTGTTGTTGTTTATATTTCCAGTTGGTAAAGTTTTAAATGTTTTATCAGAATAATTATAATAATCGGGTCATCAAAATTCACAAACACGATATTGCAACGTTTAATGCAAAACAGAACCATTAAAATCGAATAAAATATTGAAATTTCTTATCAATATGTAATCTTCAAAGTGAAAAAGTGTGTTACAAATGAAATTGGATGTTCAAATGGTAGGTACATTCGTTTAAATGGGTTTAAAATATTCAAACCATCCTATCGATAACATCTTTTAATACCCGAATGTCCTGACCTATTGTCCTATTGTCAGTTTCCTTTGACATGAATTTTGAAATATAAATCCTGTGAAATTGACAATATCCCATTGTATTTGCTTGATCCGGTATTCAGTGATTTTATGGTGGTCTTTATATTGGTTGTGCTTCGATGGATTTAAAAATGATGCGATTGTTTGCATGGTTCGGTGAATATAAAAGATATGCTTAATCGTAGTATCTGAAATATTTCATTGCCACTCTGTGGAAGTCGCGAATCGAAAACACGACCTTGACGGAGATAATCTAACGTCAATATTAACCCGGTGATGCAGTCAGGAAAGTTACGTAACCATCATTGCTCACTATAATAAAACAAGAAAAAGGGCAGAATTGAAACATAAAATTTTACAACTGACTCAGATTGGTAGTATAAATCAAAGTACTGAAGTACTGAACATCGGATGACCGCAAGTTCTGGTGGATGGTCACAAGCACTTGTCTCAGAAAAAAAAATCACATCTCTATACCTGAAAGTTAGGTTAAGGTACATAGATATGTTTTTTTTCAGACAAGTTCCTGTGTGTATGATGAATAAATGACAGGGAATTCAACCTCACCGTAATAACTATTATATTGCAGTGATAAAATCATTTGTTATCGGTATACTCTGGTTTGTTGTTATATATTATATTAATATTTGTATAACAGTTAAATATAATATGCATTCATTTGTATATCATTCTATTCTACTATTCTAATGATAGCGCAGTGCATGGTAGATACTCTTCTGTAATTATAATTCGTTTTTCTAACAGATTGTATTTGAGTAGGCATTCATATTTTCCCGCGTTTGTTGCAAAACGTTCTTGAGAAATTCTTCCGCGTGCGTTAACACAATTTTTCGGTATTTTCGTATCATTCATCTATGTTCTTAAAATTATTTTCATGAATATTTATTGATAAAACTACAAGCGATAAGGAATGTTATTTTGCACTCGATAATGTCCGCGTATTTATACGATCGGTTACCAGTCAAAAACGAAAGTCACGTGAGTAGAAATCTCTGTAGCAACAATACACCGGAATGCCCTCACGGTCATCCGATGTAAAAATGACATAAGGATTTTTTATTCAGAATTGCAACTCTTGGTTTAACAGCTTCCTTGTAAAAAGCAACCCTCTATCAAGGAAATCATGATAGAAACTGCAAACTCTTGACTATCGTATCAGCGGGCAGATGATATTTACTTCATATGCAGGTGCTGGTGGAATGTTGCTTAATATAGAAATAGAAAGTTCACAATTGGGAAGCTGAAACATGCTCACAGTGTGTTTGTAGAGATATCCGTCTACCTGTTCACAATATATCAACATCAACAGCTACGTTCCACTGTTCATGACATTGTTCACAATGTGTATATACAATTATCCGTCTTTCTGTTCTCAATATAGCTACAATTCACAATGTATGCATAACCAGCTTATTCCACATACGAACACTAAATCATTCATAGTTATTTGCACACAATCTACTCACAGCTACATTTTAACGTTTTTTTCTAAAACAACTATTATAATATATATAGATATAAGAAGATGTGGTATGAGTGCCAACGAGACAACTCTCCATCCAAGTCAAAATTTATAAAAGTAAACCAGTATAGGTCACAGTACGGAGCCTTGGCTCACACCGAACAGTAAGCTATAAAGGGCCCCAAAAATTACTAGTGTAAAACCATTCAAACGGGAAAACCAACGGTCTAATCTATATAAAAAACGAGAAACGAGAAACACTTATGAACCACATCAACAAACGACATCTACTGAACATCAGATATATATATATAGCTGAAATACGTTAAGATAAATTGACAGTCTATTCTCAGCTTTATAACATTACAAGTAAGTTTTTTTAAAGCTACATATAGTCTTTAATAATAAACTTGGGATTTATACGCCACAATTGATCCATACGTACATGTGAACAATGTTTTAACACTCTATGGCTTGTTATGAGGCAAAAGTAACGCCCCATCAATATCATTCTCTTGTTTGCCCAGTGGAAATCCAAATTTTCCGCTTTTCGTCCCGGTCGACCCACCTTATAAGACCCTTCTGTTCTGATTTAATGTTCAATTTGTCATCGTCTTGAATATGCACGAAATATTTGCCACTGGCCGTTCAGCATGGAACAAATACTCAATCAACTCACAAAGCTAAACAAGCACAATATATCAACACGTGTATTTTAAAATATGTGACCAATTCAATTACTTCAGTTTTGCAATGTTTATATATGCTAAAACGCATTAGCATTGTCTTAAACTACCTATAAAAAGGGGTTTGCAGTTTCATTAGAAGTGCAATATGTATTTAAAGCTTAACAAATTGTCCAGAACACGCCCGGAGATGAATTTAAAAAAATCGTGTCTATAAAATGGAATGGCTGATGAAATTTACCATGTCAGTATGAAGTGGAAAAAAGTAATCGGTCACAAAGTGAGAGAGAGAGAGAGAGAGAAGCCGAATCTGATGTGTTTATGCAAGTACGATTTTAATATTTAGAATTTTCCATCAGGTCCAGTTTTTTTGGAAGTTAAAATGATTGATGTTGACAAATTAAAACTGATTAATAGTTTCATGTTTATAATTGTCACCAATTCATTACATTGTAGATTGTGTAGTTCTTTGAGAAGTTATGATATAAATAGACATATGTTAAATTTTCAAATGCATTTATTGTACATGTTGTACATATGTACATAAACATAATTATGACCATACAAACTTGAAAAGAAAAGTGTTACATACAATGATACTTGATATAAATAACAAAACAGATAAAGTACAAAAAGTGAACACATAAAATCATCATGTTCAAATATCTCCACAGGAGACCAAATTATGTAGAAGTAAGCAACAACAGGTCACCGTACCACCTTCAACAATAAGCAAACATAACAAGCTATAAAAGGCCCCGAAATGATAAATGTCAAACAATTCAAACGAGAAAACTAACGGCCTGATTTATATACAAAACAATAAATGAAAAAAACATTATGAATCGATATACAGCAACAAATCAGCAGTGTTTCAGGAACGCCAGTATACGTTACATGTACCTACATGTACAATCAGTAGTGTTTCAGGAATGCCAGTATACGTTACACGTACCTACATGTACACTCAGTAGTGTTTCAGGAATGCCAGTATACGTTACACGTACCTACATGTACAATCAGTAGTGTTTCAGGAACGCCAGTATACGTTACACGTACCTACATGTACAATCAGTAGTGTTTCAGGAATGCCAGTATACGTTACACGTACCTACATGTACAATCAGTAGTGTTTCAGGAACGCCAGTATACGTTACACGTACCTACATGTACAATCAGTAGTGTTTCAGGAATGCCAGTATACGTTACACGTACCTACATGTACAATCAGTAGTGTTTCAGGAACGCCAGTATACGTTACACGTACCTACATGTACAATCAGTAGTGTTTCAGAAACGATGTCAGTAGGCGGATTACATGAACAATCATCAGTGTTTTCAGGAACGTCAGTATGAGGGATTACATGTACAATCAGCAGTGTTTGGGGAACGTCAGTATTTAGAATTACATGTACACGTACCTGAATGTACAAACAGCAGTGTTTCAGGAACGTCTGTATTGGATATTACATGTACTTAAATGTACAAACAGATGAGGGATAGCATGCACCTAAATGTACAAACAGCAGTATATAAGGAACGTCAGTATTTAGGATTACATGTACCTACAAGTACAATCAGCAGTGTTTCAGGAACTTTGTCAGTAGGGGGATTACATGAACCTAAATGTACAATCAGCAGTGTTTCAACGCCAGTAACGGGGTATAAATGTACCTAAATGTACAGACAGCAGTGTTTCAGGAACACCAGTATGAGGGATGAAATGTACCTACATGTACAAGCAGCAGTGTTTTAGTCGTTTTAGTAACGTTGTCAGTAAGGGGATTACTTGAACCTAAATGAACAACCAGCAGTGTGTCAGGAACGCCAATACTGGATATTACATTTACCTTAATGTACAAACGTGAGTGTTCCAGGAACACCATTATGTGGGATTACATGTACCTAAATGTACAAACGTCAGTGTTCCAAGAATGCCAGTATGAGGGAAAGCACGTACCTAAATGTACAAACAGCAGTGTCTCAGGAACGTCAATATTTAGGATTACATGTACCTAAATAAACAATCAGCAGTGTTTCAGGAACGCCAGTATAAGTGATTACATGTACCTTTCTGTTCTGGAAAGGGATGGTCGAGCGTTTTCCATTGTTCGGTCAAATTCGACACAAAATGATTTTCAATTCTTCAAGCAAAACTTTCTCTCATTACAAAATGTAACTCAGATCGTGTTCTCATCTAGATAGAAAATATCGCACGTGAAACCTAATCGTTTGACAAATTCGATCCCTGGGAAGGTTCAAGAAAATATCATAGCCATCCCGAGTAGATAGTAAATTCCAAGCTCTTTGTTATAGTTATACTCTACTTATTATAGAACTGTCCAGGTCAATTTGTGGTAGATTTTTATTTGAAAGATATTTCAACCCGTTTCATGTCAATGCACAATTTTACGGCAATTGGCATATAATAAAAAACACAATTTATATAACCGAAAAAATCTCACTAATCTTAAAGATTTTGTATTTTTTAAAAGGCAAATGGTTCAGTGTACAAACTTCTTTGAAAATGCATATAGTTGCATTTGTTGATATTAAAATGAATTTTAGAACCAGATGGTCTTTCATATTAGTTTACTATTTAAGTTTTTTTATTTACACCCACCCGGGAAATTATAACTATCTAGCAAGTGACAACATTTTAATTACTAGTATTATCTTTTTATTAATGTAGTAAAAAGATTTCAAGATGTATTCATAACATCTGACGCATACAGGTATACAAGAGGACATTACTATAACAAAGTTAACATAGTTAATATCATGCAGATGATTAATGCAGAAAGATCAGTTGGTCATAGCATTACATACAAATAAAATACAAACAGTTTTAATTATTATCGTACACAAGAGAAATCACACGTGTTACAACAGGATATCAAGACTAGAATCTTTCCTCGGTTTTAGTATGTTTAGTAGTTGTCGTTTGTTAATGTGGTTCATAAGTGTTTCTCGTTTCTCGTTTTTTATATAGATTAGACCGTTGGTTTTCCCGTTTGAATGGTTTTACTCTAGTAATTTTTGGGTCCCTTTATAGCTTGCTGTTCGGTGTGAGCCAAAGCTCCGTGTTGAAGACCGTTTTTTGACCTATAATGGTTTACTTTTATAAATATTGACTTGGATGGAGAGTTGTCTCATTGGCACTCATACCACATCTTCTTCTATCTAATTATTCAAATGTAGGTTAAAACTTAAGTTGTAGATTTAACGTAGTTTCTTATCCACATTTTAAAAGTTGTTCTTCGCGGGATAAATTTCAAATTTAAACTTCTTAACAATTTATAAAGATGCAGGTTTAATTTTAATATCATATTGTCCCCTCCACTTGAAAATAGTCCTAGGGATAGAAAGTGTGAAAATCTACATTAATGATATATCGCGAGATGTGGTATTGTTGCCAATGAGACACATATCCTACAAAGATCAATCTTTGCGAACAAGTGTTAAAATCTAATTGACGTTATATAGATGTACATTTAAACAAGACGTAGGAGTAAAACTTCTAAAAAGACTATGAATTAACCATTTAACCATACATGTATCTCCATAAAGGGGGACAGGGCTCTCCTTAATCCGCCACTGACACCCCCCCCCTTTTCCATTTCGAAATGTGGAACAATATGTATTATATAGAATGTAAGTTTTACATATATAGGTTCGTATTCCCCCATCGTTTTTGAAAATAATTCTTAAGGGAGCAAGTGTACAAAATCATATATATATTTTCAGGGGGCATGGCTTATATTCTGTGCGCTATAAACTCCTTATTCATTTTTTTTCCAAACCTGATCAAATTATTGTAACAAGATCAGACTAACTCGATCGTATACTAAGATGTATTAAGTTTTACAGTATTAAAAAAAAAATACATCCAAAATTTCGCGTAAAGGCCTTCACTATAAACAACCATCACCTGGCATGCCATATGTGACACTTGGTTTTTTTTCCCTTATGTTAGTTGTATGGAGCTGAAAATTACAACATAGTTCTTGTAAGGGGATGGCCATTTGATTTTCTGGGAGGTAGCCAGCAGGATTTCGGTAACATTGCTGATATTATTACTCTTGTTGCACCTAGGGTGCCTGAGTTAGTAAATAAAGTTATCGGTAATGAATATCCTCACCTAGTAAGAACTGAACAAAAAATAAGCTTGCCCGAGACATGATGAATATTCTCTCAAACAAAATAAACGAAATACATCGCAGCTCCAATGAATATAGTGCTACATGCAAAAAAAAACCAGCAGTAGTGTAATAATCATAGTTATGGGAGAGTAGAGGTGGGGATAAAATCAGACATTATACACCAGAAAAAAAGGTTTACGCATTTCAAACTGAACGTTATGCTGCGAGGAATCGAGTGCACCATTCATCGATATAGCATGCAGTTGATATATGGTTAATCTATAATATTTTAGGCAGAGTTTACAATATAGATAAAAGCATAAATAAATAAATCATAAGTAAATAATCAAAACAAAACATGTAGATATATCATTTAAATGTAAACAAAATACTCACAATCTGTATCGTTCCCATAATAACATTCACGAAATATTCCCCTGTTTCTTGTGAAGGTGTATCTAGCTTTAGTAGCATCTGTTTTTAAAGAAGCCCCTAGTCTGTTTCTGTCTACTGTGAATTCTATCCAATAATCCGTGGCAAAAGAAACTGCTAAAAGAGCAATAGCCACTGGTCCCAGACACGTAGCCAGGACCAGGCTAAATGTCCCACACGAACTCCGTCGCATATTTCACTTAAAATCCAAATTTAGTTAAAATATCACTGAAATTCCTTGTAGCCAACGGAAGGCTAAGACGAAAGCGAAAGAATGTTCACTTCAATGTGTCATAAGTAATGATGTTAATAACCCGCGAGAGTGAGATATGCACCGGTGAACAATAATAAAAGAAAGATGTCCTCGCGGAATCCCAAAGCCGTTGATGATCTACTTTTGTTATTTTATCCTGAGGTCTCAAATGGTCAATCCTATGTCTGCTCCCTCGGACAGGTATAATTACAAGTTATATGTACATTCAATTTTTAAAGAAATCGCCCACAGGTACAATTTATAATATCAGGTAAATAACATACATGTATTTTTCTGATGACTGCACGAGACACGACTCGGTGATACAATGATGATTGATGAACAAAATATGAGGAAACAAACCTTGTATATAAAACGCACATATAACATATGAATGATTTTAAGAACCACAAAGAAAATATACTCTAGATCAAGTTTCGAAGTCAGTGCTCGAACAATCAACATATTAAATTGATTTGTTGGTCCAGTTTTTATTATTTTCACCACAACAACTACCCTCTAAGGGAGCTACCATTTGATTTTTATGGTGGGGGCTAAGATGAAAAATTTTGTCCTGCTTTTTTTTTAGTTGTAATCTCTGTCCTGCCTTTTTATTTTTTACTCTATTCGGTCCTGCCTTTTTTTTTACTAGTTTATCCTGAATTTTTTTACACAAATTGTCAACCTGTCTATTTTTTTTACTCAAAACTCCTACTGCCTATTTTTTTCAAATTTCATCCTAGCCCCCCCCCCCCCCCCCCCCATAAACTGTATATGTTTTATTTCGCCAAAGGAGGATGGAACTCCTACCCAACTCTAGTACATGTTGTATTTCGCCAAAGGAGGATGGAACTCCTACCCAACTCTAGTACATGTTGTATTTCGCCAAAGGAGGATGGAACTCCTACCCAACTCTAGTACATGTTGTATTTCGCCAAAGGAGGATGGAACTCCTACCCAACTCTAGTACATATTGTATTTCGCCAAAGGAGGATGGAACTCCTACCCAACTCTAGTACATGTTGTATTTCGCCAAAGGAGGATGGAACTCTTACCCAACTCTAGTACATGTTGTATTTCGCCAAAGGAGGATGGAACGCCTACCCAACTCTAGTACATGTTGATAACCAAATGACAAATAAAATTCATAACGACTTTTTTGTTCAGCGCATACAGTACAATAATAATTCGAACACTTCCGAGGTAATCCGAGAATAAATCGTACATCAAACTTTCAGTCGATCGAGTAAAATTTCGAGTTTCGGGTATCACAATTATTTTTTTCATATTTGAAAGCCAATTGTATATCCAATAAAAAAAAAATGTCAAACATGTGACATCTTTGAACTTGTTAACTTTGAAATCAGCGTATCAAAAGGGGGGGGGGACTATTATTTGTCATATGTTTATTTCATATTTTATAAGATTAAGATAAGATAAGATAAGATAAATAATAGTTTATTTAAGTGTCACATATTTATCTACAATAAAATTACAAAACAACATCATAAAAAAAGGATGAATACCCAGCCTATAAAGACTTATGAGACACTGTATATACAAATAAAAGGATCAATACCCAGCCTATAAAGACTTACGAGACACTGTATATACAAATAAAAGCTATAACAGTTATACTAAAGGAAAATGTTTCTACAAAAAGACATAGTCATGTTTTACATGGTTTAAAACTCATTAAATATGTACATAAAATTATAAAATATCTATTCATGAACGCTTCAAAATAATAATGTAGAACTTACTAATATAAATCAACAATGAAAACAAAAGATTACAATTACAGTTTAGTTCGCTTAAAAACGCCACTAGGGTAAATGTTACTTAAAAATTCAATAAAAATACAGCAACAAATAATTTCAGTAAAAATTCAGTTAAAGTTCAGTAAAAATTCAGTTAGAGTTCAGTAAAAATTTCAGTAAATTTAACGTTTAATTCAAAAGAGATTCGTTGACTAAAGATTTACATAGTAAAAAAACAAAAGGAAATCTAAATCAATATAATAAGTTTAAACAATATTATATAAATTTTTTACGTATCATAAAACATTTATGGAGTGTATTAGCCAAAAGTGGTTGGATTTCATCACATTTCATTAAAGATGTAAAATATAAGTTATATTGATTAGTTATCTTAATTACCTGCTAAACATTATAAAAACAAATTAATCATTATCAAAGCAATTCCCGATTGTCCCACATTTAAACTTCCCAATTGTCCCACAAACCTATTCCCGATTATCCCGCCTACTTTTTTACCTGTAATTTCAAAAAGTGGGACAATCGGGAAGACACCATCCTTCTGTACACAAATCTGTAAATGCTTAAAATATTGACATAGAAGAAACACATTTGTAGATTTAGTGAGACTATAACGAAAGGAACAATTTAAAAAAAATAAGTCATTGCATATGTTTGTTTTAAATGTGCATTTTGTATTTTATTTCAAATCCCTAATCGTCTTTTTTTTATAAAAATAAATCTACTACCTATATCAAGGAATATTTGTGATTTTGCAGTTGATTACAATTGAATTCTTTATTTCTGTAAATTGAATGGAAGTTATTTTTTTTTGGAAACGTCCACTGTCTAAAGTAAAAACTTTTATATCCATATATATGAACGTTTCAGGAAATTTTATATTTTGAGACGCTTGATATCAAAGTGTCATGTTTTATGAAAACATACCGTGTGATTTAAAACTATATGAGCCAAGGATTTCTAATGATAAAGTTTACACCATCCCTTCGAAAGATTTACGAACGCCATCATGATTAATTTTGGTTGACCGTTATGGACAGATGACCAAGGGCATTACCACGTGCCGTAGCTAGAACCCGTCCTCTTATTCTTCGATCGTGAAATCACCGTGTGACTTATATCCGATTTTATTAAGACAAGTTCCGTTAGTTAACGAGAACTGTTTACCCTTCCAGAGCATCTCAATTCATCCCCGGTTCTTGGTTGGGTCCATTTTGCGTATTCTTTAGTTTTCTTTGCTGTGTTTTGTTTTCATTTCCAAATTTACTATCTACTACACCTTTTTTGTTGGCGTCTTAATAAGATTTATTTGTATGTTTGTTTGAATTTTTTAGTCAGTTGTGTTGTATGTCTGTGATGTATGTTTACACAGTTTTTGCTGCTTGATCCCAATTATTGTCACATTAACCTATAATGTTTGTTTGGCTTGCTCACCCAATTTTATCGATATAACGGAACTATAAACAACTGTCATACAAGATAAGATAAGATATTTTATTTTCCAAATAAGGTCCCCAGGGGGGCAAATACACATAACATATATAATTGTTACAACATACAGTATTTTACATGACATTCATATTAATATTTTTAACTTTTACTGTTTAGTCCATTTTTGGTAATATCCTTTTGGCGTGGCTCGGTTTTTTTAACATCCCGCCATTGTGTTATTGTGCTATGGTCAATTTTTTGTATTCTTGTCTTTCATTTTTGCTTATATGCTTTGTCTATAGAGCGTCTATATAGCATTTTGTTTTTCTTTGTTGATATAGTTGTTTGTATTTATAGTGATCAAGATTATAACACAATGGTGACTGCTGTACCCCTATTTTTGACAATTTTACCTATTATGTCTGTTTGTTTTGCTCACACATTGTTGTCAAGATAATGGAATTCTATGCGACTGTCATACAAGTGAGAGGTTTAGCTAGCTATAAACCTGGTTTAATCCACCATTTCCTACATAGGGAAATGTTTGTACCAAGTCAGGACTATGACAGTTATTTTCCATTCGTATGATGTGATTTTGCCATTTCATAAGGGACTTTCCGTTTTGAATTTTCCTTGGAGTTCGGTATTTTTTGTTATTTTACTTTATTTTTTGTTGATACACTTATAATATGCTAGGAGTACACTAAGATGGTCTTAATACTAAATCCATAAGATGTTGGATGTGTACTGATTGATATTTTAGTGCTAGATGCATGATTTTTTTATTAGTTGTTATTGGCTTTGAACTAGCTGTCAGTAACTGCGAGTACTCTCAGATCTGTACTTAGTGTCTTGTTTGTTGTGGGGATGTATAAGTACCCTGCCACGTCCACTCTGTGTTTTTGTTAGATGTATTTCTGCTTTGTATCGATCTGGTTTTTTCAACTCAATTTTATAGTTTGTTCTTATATTGTACTGTTACATGTACACCACTGTCCCAGGTTAGGGGAGGGTTGGTCCGCCTTCAAACTAGTTTAACCCCGCCACATTCTGTATGTGCCTGTCCGAAGTCAGGAGCCTGTAATTCAATGGTTGTCATTTGTTGCTGTGTATCATATTTGTTTTTCGTTCATTATTTTGTCTATAAATCAGGCTGTTAGTTTTCTTGTTTGAATTGTTTTACATTTGTCATTTCGGGGCCTGTTATAGCCGACTATGCGGTATGGGTTTTACTCGTTGTTGAAGGCCGTACGGTGACCTATAGTTGTTAATTTCTGTGTCATTTGGTCTCTTGTTGAGAGTTGTCTCATTGGCAATCATACCACATCTTCTTATTTTTATATTAAATTAGGTATTGTTGTCGTTTGAGACAAGCAGTCGCGATAAAGTGCCATTGAAATCTGTGCGTGTAATTGGAATTTAAGGACTGCCAAACGTCCAAAGATCGCTTCTTGATACGCTCAAAGATGACTAAGATAAATTCATGATTCTATCAAAACAACTTTACACGAAAAATTCAATTTTACTCATATCAAATGTTCTTTCTTAACATTTCTGTTATTCAGAACTGTAAATTCGTTTCAAATTGCGTTTAACAATCCTTCAGGTAATTATAAAAATAAGAAGATGTAGTATGATTGCCAACGAGACAACTCTCCACAACAGACCAAATGACACAGAAATTAACATCTATAGGTCACTGTACGGCGTTCAACAATGAGCAAAGCCCATACCGCATAGTCAGCTATAAAATTCGTTCCAAAGAGAAAAGCAATACGTGAACCCAAGACCAATGACAGGCCAGAAAAATGTTGCTTATTTTTGTTGTTGCATTTGATATGAAATAAATGACTGTGAATAAGGTACTAATGATGTTATAACATTTTACTGAACATGTTTTATTGGATACGCTGTTGGTTTAAAGTCAGCAAACTGTTTATATCCTTGCACAAGTCAATAAAAAGCACTGTTGGATTTCAGTTGTAAATGAAATAAAGGTATGGATTTTAGCCTATAAGGGTTGACTTTTATTTTCTTTATTACAGGGAGTTTTCATCGTTTTCCTTCGCCTAGAATACAAAGTCGTAATCCTATCGCAATTTCCA